AGTAAGAGAAATTTAGGAGAAGAATACGTACATGTTCTTGCATGAGGCCCATTGATCCAAAAAAGAATGCTTTGTGAATAAATAAAATGGCTCTGTCCTTGTTAAAATATATTTTTAAAAAGTTCAGTGGTGTGATAATATCATTTAGGCTTGCAAAAACATTTGTTCTTTATATGCATTTTATTTATTATCACCAATTTGTCTTAAAATGTTGACAAAGTACAGAAAATATATATTTTTGCTCTGTTAGATAGGTGAATTACATAATGTCAGTTGTGCACAGTGGTGTAACAATACATTGATCCACATATCGATTAAACGATTAACGATTCAACTACATTGGGGCAAAATGACAAAATCAATCCATTATTGCCATCATATGCCTGATATGGATCAATATCAAATGCCCATCTATCACAATCTTTTATGTTCCATGAGTATATGATATCACATCATATCAATCACAGGATTGTGAACTGAACTGAATCAAAATCGTATTGTGCCAGACTTTATGTTATCAAGAAATATCGTATCATCCAAACACTGATATAATGTCGTATCATGATCAATCTGGCAATTTACACCCCTCGGTGTGCCTGTTGTTTTATCTCCTGCTGCCAGAGGCAAAGGTGGAGCGATGAGGCTTTTATGTGGTGCCGTTTGTAAAGTTACACAGTCAAATATTACCACCAATATTTTTGTTTTATTTAGCCTTTTATAAGAAAAAAAATAACAGATTTATTTTTCAAAGTCAGTTTTTCACCATATGATTCATACATTTATAAATGTCATAGTTTATAAACTAATTAGTTAACTTAAGTTAAATATTTAACTTAATATTTAACTTGCTAGCTAAATATTTAAGTTGCAACCTAAATATTTAGGTAGCTGGCTAAATATTTAAGTTGCAAGCTAAATATGTAGCTCAAAACTAATTATTTAATTTTTAAGTTAAATATTTAGTTTATAAACTATGACATTTATAAATGTATGAATCGTATGGTGAAAAACTGACTTTGAAAAATAAATCTGTTCTTATCTGTTCTTATAAAAGGCTAAATAAAACAAAAATATTGGTGGTAATTTTTGACTGTGTAACTTTACAAACGGCACCCCATAGTTTTTGCACCGCTGTGTGTGTGTCTGTGTGAGGGAGTGTTTGTCATATCTCATGAATTACTGGATGGATTTTAACTCTCAGAAAACAAAGTAATCCTTGACTGTACATCTATAGCTGATTAACTTTTGGAGTCAGCTGAAGTTATGATGACCACCATAGTTAATAAGCTTTAGCCTACACAAAAATACCTATACCTCAGTAAATTCTACAGATATTGAGGTAGAATTCGGTGTGGTAGTAGATGAAAATCATCTAGAACACATACTCCAAGCGCTAACATGTCGTGAGGTTCTCAAGGTTTAACGAAAATGACTATAAATTGTCATTTTTCTACATAAAACCAGCTCAGTCTAAAACTCTGGCTTAAAGGCACAGTGTGTAGTATTTGTTGTTTTCAGCGACATCTAGTGGTTGAGTGGTTGAATCATCCTCCCTGGTCCTCCCCCCACCCCCACCCCCCGCTTCCAAACACAAAGGAGTTGCTACGGTGTCTCTCAGGTGTCAAAAACCTTTGATAATTCCAACCGCGATGTCTACACTGCAAGAACTGTCCATCTTACCAAGTTTTAAAAT